GGGAGGAAGTGAGGAGAAAGAAATCAACCCTGATGGTCGTCATGGACAGGACATGAGACTGTGTGGTGACTGTCCCTGAGTGTGCTCTGGACTCAATGGCGGGCTTTCCGCCGCATTCATTTACTGGCACCTTGATCAGAGGCCATCCTACCACCCTGTGAGAATCCCTGGACTGGATTATTATTCCCATTTTAAAGAGAAGGGGTAGAACATACCCCCTGTCCATCCCAGCTTCGCCTCCCCAGTTATTTGCTTTCCCTTGGAGTTTGCCTAAGGACTCTGAGGTGCCTGAGGTCATCAGAGCCCAACGAGGCTGTTTACCAACTCACTCTGCAATGCCTTCATGTCTCTGAGTTTAAACCCAGAAGCTGGACAGAGTTTGAAAAGCCATTTGGGCCATTCCCCTGTTCCTGTGTGGGCTGCACTTCAGTTTCTTCATCTCATTTTGAATTGAGAAAAGGTGGTCCTATGTCTTCCTTCAAGTCCCTTTTCTAGTTCTTAACAGTCCTTATTATATTTCACCACTCAGAGCCCAATGGCCTGGGCTAAGTCCTGCTACTGTTCAGCTGTTGGATCTTGGCCTTGTCATTCAACCTTTCTGGACCTCGATTTTCTCATCTGTGAAATGGTGATCATAATATTAATGTTACTTTTCATGAGTGCTTTGTTGAGACGAACTTTGTAGAGGAGATTTGCTACCTTCGAAGCACTTGACAAACATAAGGGATTTGTTATTTCCATAATTTAATTGCCCTCTGAGACCACAGGCAACTCTCAGATATGTCAAAGAAGAAGAAGCATGGCCCATAGCAGCAGTCAACACTGGTGAGCTAGATCAGGGGTCGGCAAACTGCGGCTCGTGAGCCGCATGCGGCTCTTTGGGTATGTACATGTGGCCCTGAAGTAAAATGGAAAATGAAAATAAAACTATCATAGTTTCATTTGTAAAAATTTTTAAAGGATTTTTAAATTTTCCTTATTTGTAAAAATATATTTAGGCTCCCGAATAATTTTTAAATTGTTGTGAGGGACAGGATTGGCTCTTCTGTCTCAAAAGTTTGCCGATCCCTGGTCTAGATTCTGGGTGGAGGGCTCCTGGGGCCCAGGTGTGACTCTTACTAACCGCTTCTGCTCCAACACACCTGTTG